CTGCTGAGCAGGTCCAGACCTGAACAGCTGGTCCATCTTGTGTGTGAGCAGCTGCTGCCTCTCCTCTTCTCGGTTCTGTCTCAGAGCTCTGGTCCTGTCTCTCATCTTGTCCTGTTTCTGCAGGACCGTCTCCTGCTGGTCCTCTGTCTCCTGCAGGAGCTGCTGCTCCTCGGCCTCCAGGAGGACCCTGAGTCTGAGGGACACATGAGAGACACATCAGAACCGAGCAGAGGTCCATGGACGTGCAGGTGGACGGACCTGTGTCTCCTGTCCTGCAGGCTGTCCTCCTGCTGCTGCAGCGCCGCTCGGACCCGTCTCTGCACACTTCCTGTCAGGAAACTGCGCTCGGCGCTCTGCAGCCAGCAGGCCCTGAGGTGGCAGCTCTGCTGGTCCCTGCTGAACTCCAGGACCTGGTCTCGGGCCTCCTCCCGTCTCTGGTTCTGCTGGATCAGGTGGTCTGCAGGTCTGGACAGGGGGGGCTTGGCCATCTGAGACACACAGAGACAGGTCCCTGAGTCTTCTGCACAAACTCACATTATCTTTACATACTTTTACTTGTTGACAAGTACTTTTACTCTGCAGAGTATCAAAGCTTTAGTACTCACACAGTATTTGTTTCATTTCTATGAAAAATAAATTCTTTTACACACAACAAAGAAAATACTCCCCAGTATTACTACTGGTATTTATAATACAGTCCCCTCCCTGTAAGATGTATTTGTACATTCACTCTGTGTATTACCAAGTATGTTCCATGTACTCTGGAGTCTGCAGTATGTTTGCATGTTTCTTATTCTACACGAAGTCTGGCCTGGTTAAACAACAATAAATAAAGTCCGACAGGTTAGTGTGTACTGTTACTGCATGCTTAGTAACTGTTTTTGAAGGAAAATAAAAAGTCCATCATTGAGGAACTGAAAAGTATTTAAGTTTTTAAAGTCATGGAAATCTGAGGACATCAGCTCCAACACGTTTACTTCTAACATTTTATGTTTAATTATTAATTATTATTGTAGTGGTCACCCTGGGTGGAATAAACGTTCCACCTGCCTTTGAACTTGACCACGGAAGGCCTCCTTTAAAGAACAGAACTCTGTTCATTTTTTATGGTCATAACATGTTTTCTTAAACAATTAAGG